GGAAATTGGGTTTCCTTCCCAGGTACTCCCATATTGGGCATTGGGGTTCCTGCCCAGGAACCACTTATTGGACAACGGGTTTCTTGCCCAGGAACTCCCTTATTGGACATTGGGGTTCCTGCCCAGGAACCACTTATTGGACAATGGGTTTCTCGCCCAGGAACTCCCTTATTGGACATTGGGTTTCTTGCCCAGGAACTCCCATTGGGTTTTCTGCCCAGGAACCCACTTATTAGACATTTGGTTTTCTGCCCAGGAACCCACTTATTAGACATTGGGTTTCCTGCCCAGGAACCCCCTTATTGGACATTAGATGTTCTGCCCAGGAACCCCCTTATAAGGCATTAGGTTTTCTGCTGGCACGCGTTTTGATTCCAGTTTTCACACCGGCCTGGATTTGGCTGAAATGAAACTCACAGAAAGGCCTAGATGGAAATTCTACACTTGAATACAACTTAAAAAAAGGTTTAACCTTTCATTACAGTTTGATTTCTATCCATCATATGCCATAACAGTGGAAAAGGGAGCTAAGTTAAGAGCAAAAACAAACTTACCACCTCTCAGTATTTGACATCCACCAGTGGGCCCGCCTGCTAAATCCCTGTAGCTGTCGGTATCCTCTTCTACTTAAAGACCCTGAACTAAAACCTGTAGTATTGAAGACCCGACTCTTCTCGGATTCCAATCACCATCCTTTTGTTTCATTTTTCACAGAAGGAGGTTGCACAGCAGACAAAACATGTAACAAGAAGCTACAGATCCGCACAAAACCGAGGGAAAACCCCGATGTATCTGGCTGTGATAGATTATTATACTCAGTAAACTGTATTTCCAATGAAGAAATATTTTGAGTTATCAGTAAATAATTATTGAAATGACTGTTATGTTTTACACGCTTGCTCCGCCATAGTTTTGTTATTGGGTTATATGTATAGAATTAAATATTTGCCATTACAGGCAGGAAAGGTTAGCTACCAAAATTGTCCAACAACTGTTGAGAAAATATATCAGTCACAGAGCAAGGGCCATGTTTTCAGCGAGTCAGCCGACTCAGACTTGTTTCCGAAGAAGCAAAAGTAAAGTACAAGCACTGTGTAGCCCTGCAAAGTAGATGGAGTCTGCCTATGTAATGTGCAAGTATGGCTACCACCATGTACATAAATAATGATATGTATAAAGGAGATACAGAGAAAGGAGAGGAAAGAGGAGGAGAGGGAAGGAAAGAGGAGGAGAGGGAAGGAGAGGAGAGGGAAGGAGAGGAGAGGGAAGGAAAGAGGAGGAGAGGGAAGGAAAGAGGAGGAGAGGGAAAGAAAGAGGAGGAGAGGGAAGGAAAGAGGAGGAGAGGGAAGGAAAGAGGAGGAGAGGGAAGGAAAGAGGAGGAGAGGGAAGGAAAGAGGAGGAGAGGGAAGGAAAGAGGAGGAGAGGGAAGGAAAGAGGAGGAGAGGGAAGGAAAGAGGAGGAGAGGGAAGGAAAGAGGAGGAGAGGGAAGGAAAGAGGAGGAGAGGGAAGGAAAGAGGAGGAGAGGGAAGGAAAGAGGAGGAGAGGGAAGGAAAGAGGAGGAGAGGGAAGGAAAGAGGAGGAGAGGGAAGGAAAGAGGAGGAGAGGGAAGGAAAGAGGAGGAGAGGGAAGGAAAGAGGAGGAGAGGGAAGGAAAGAGGAGGAGAGGGAAGGAAAGAGGAGGAGAGGGAAGGAAAGAGGAGGAGAGGGAAGGAAAGAGGAGGAGAGGGAAGGAAAGAGGAGGAGAGGGAAGGAAAGAGGAGGAGAGGGAAGGAAAGAGGAGGAGAGGGAAGGAAAGAGGAGGAGAGGGAAGGAAAGAGGAGGAGAGGGAAGGAAAGAGGAGAAGAAAGAGTAGAGGAGAGGAAAATAAAGGAGAGGAAAATAAAGGAGAGGAAAGGAAAGAGGAAGATAGGAAAGGAAAGAGGAGGAGAGGAAAGGAAAAGAGTAGAGAAAAAGGAGGAGAGGAAAGGAAAAAGGAGGAGAGGAAAGAGGAGGAGATGAGAGGAAAGAGGAGGAGAGGAAAGAGGAGGAGAGGAAAGAGGAGGAGATGAGAGGAAAGAGGAGGAGAGGAAAGAGGAGGAGAGGAAAGGAAAAAGGAGGAGTGGAAAGAGGAGGAGATGAGAGGAAAGAGGAGGAGAGGAAAGGAAAGAAAAGGAGAGGAAAAGATAGAGAAGAGAGGAGAAGAAGGCAAAGAGGAGTGAAGAGGAAAGGAGAGGAAAAGATAGAGGAGAAGAGAGGAGAGGAAAGCAAAGAGGAGTGAAGAGGAAAGGAGAGAGGAGAGGAAAAGAGAAGGAAAAAGAAAAGGAAAGCAATAAAGTAGAACTGAAGCCAAAACATTTTTTTTGGCGGGGGGATATAGTAAGGGAGGGTTATAACTCATGTCAGCTTTTTGTGACATACGTGTCCCATTGGGGAGATTTGTTTTCACTTCCTGTCCGATAGACACAAGAGGAAGTGAGAAGAATTCCCTCCAAAGAGAGGAAGATCCCTGGTGGTCAGCAGGGTCACCAGAATTTGCGTCCCCTTTGGAAGGTTTCCCCTCTATTCCTGTTCTGGTTACAACCCAAAGTTTGGGATTTCCTTTCACTTTGGGTGATAACAGTCACCGGGACAAATGGCGAGGATAAATCTCTCTAACAGGGACACAGACAGCAATAAAAAGCTGACAGGTGTTCTACTCCTTTTCCACTCTATCCCAAACTAAAAATAAATCTTTTGGCTTCAGTTGCGCTGACTACAGTATATTTTCCTAGTTATCCGCATGCATGATGGCAGTGTTACCTGCACGGTGTTATCACTTCAGAAGGGTATTTTACCAGTTGCACGTAGCTGTAGGTATGAAAACCTTTTGGGCCGGCCAAGTCTTAGAAAACCCAGCTCCTAGAGAAGACGGCACGAAATCCGCACACAGAAAATGACTGAACACCAAATTAATTTATTGAGAGCAATAAAGTCATCTATTTGTTCACATAGATACAAGGACTTGCTGGGCTTGAGATATTTTGTCTAGGGTGATCCACAGAATGCAGAGGAGGCTTGCTGCTTACAAAAACAGTAATGACAGCGATGGTTCATTACCTGTACTAAGGAAAAAATAAAAAGAGAAGACGTCGTCTGGTTGTAGCAGTATATAGACAGTGAAAAACAAAAACAGCTGTACAATATCATCCATCGGAGTGAAAGGAGAGTGTCGAGGACGGGAGAGGAGGGCCGGGCGGGAGGTGGTGGAAAAAGCAGCCGTTAGAGCTATATTGAACAGGCCTGTCTTTAAAACAGCATCTCCTACTTCCTGCTAAGTGGACCCTTAAAACACGTGCAGGGCAACTGTCGCATGGCTGCAACCGTCGCAAGGCTGCAACCGTCGCAAGGCTGCAACCGTCGCAAGGCTGCAACCGTCGCAAGGCTGCAACCGTCGCAAGGCTGCAACCGTCACATGGCTGCAACCGTCGCATGGCTGCAACCGTCGCATGGCTGCAACCGTCGCATGGCTGCAACCGTCGCATGGCTGCAACCGTCGCAAGGCTGCAACCGTCACAAGTCTGCAACTGTCGCAAGGCTGATTTGTTTTACTCACCATTTTAACACTGGCTGCCTCGCCTACCTGTCTGTAGCAATAAAGTTTGCTATCAATAGCAATCTCGCATCTGTTTTAGGATGCAACTTAAATCTGTAACAAAAGAGAAAAAAAAGAAGAGAAAGGAATGCTGGCAATGTGATCGCTACACTTGTTGGGTGGACTGTCGATAATAATATATTGACCACATGCAGTGCTTTCTACAGTCTTTCGGCGGTGCTCTCTTTAGGCTACAGGATATAAATGCTTCCTTTAGGGCAGTGGTTCTCAACTTTTCTAGGGCCGGGACCCCTTGGTAACATTTGCCAAGTTGTGGTGACCCCCACCGGTAACATGTAGGGATGACGTGGCTGCTGCAGCGACATCTGGCGGCGGTGCGGGAGAACTGACACTGCTGCGCTAGGAGAGGGCTGAGGAGGACTCTCACCTAGCACAGCAGCAATCACACAGCGACCCACAGGTTGCGAACCACTGGCATAAGCCGTCAGAATTTAAAAAACAAAAACCCACCATAGGAATGCATAGCTAGATTCCTATTGGCTATTTCCCTTTGCAATAGCAAACTAGCTATTGCACCTGCCCTCTGCTGCTGTCAATCACTAGAAGAGGACCTGATGGAGAACTTCAGGTCCCCCTCTGCTGATTGGCAGCAGCAGAGGGCGGTGCAATAGCTAGTTTGCTTATTAAAAAGTGAAATAGCCAATAGGAATCTAGCTATGCATTCCTATGGTGTTTTTTTTTTCTTCTGACTTACGGCAGCCCCCGATGTCAGAAAAAAAAAAGCGATCGCAGGGAAAGGTTTACTCTGCTAGATCGACTCCCGGGCGACCCCTGGCAAATCGGGGTCACGACCTACAGGTTGAGAACCGCTGATTTAGGGGAAACCTGGATGTGTGGGATGCCGATACTGCTTAACATAGACACCGGCACTCCAAGTGTTGAATCAATAGCGTCTATTTATTGATGCATGAAACATAGCACAATGCATCAAAAAGCAACGTTTCGGGGTCTCACAGGATCCCCTTTATCAGGCAAAATGAGTCATTTTGACTCACTCGTTTTGCCTGATAAAGGGGATCCTGTGAGACCCCGAAACGTTGCTTTTTGATGCATTGTGCTATGTTTCATGCATCAATAAATAGACGCTATTGATTCATTACTTGGAGTGTCCGTGTCTATGTTATCCTGTGATTATAGACAGTTGCCATCCATCGACTGCCGCAGCACCCGTCTTTTATAAGGAACAGAGGTTTTGAGTGCGATGGGTTCATGGACTAGATGCCATTGCTGAACTCTTCTAGCTATAGTACTTTCTCACTGTCACTGTTCTGGAACAAGCATGTGACCAATGAAGTCTGGTCGGTATATTTGACAGACAGGTAGCTTGCATTTTCAGAAGAAGGGATCAGCAATAGTAGCCACAATTCCCTATGTTCTATAGACAATGGAGGCAGCCATTGTGTAATCTCATTGTGGTATGTGGTCTATTGACTAGAAATTCTAGTGAACTGATGCTGCTTAATTGATCCAGCCCACAGAACGTCTGCCTTGGCTGTATACAGGGGACAGGTCCACATTAACTAAAGCAAGGAAAAGTGAAGCGAGCAGTATTTAAGGATCTGAGCTGGGTTTGCTCTTTCCACCACCTCCTGGTTACACACGACTATATCTTAAAGATCAGACAACTCCCCTGAAAAGGTGCTGGGCTCCTCTTCTGATCTCGCTGTGACCTTAAACTGGCGCCTGAGAAATCCGCCATACCTTTTCTGATTGTCCCACTTTAACTTGGGCCGGATCCTGCGCATGAACCCGCCATAGCGTTTCTGAAGCTCTGCCACTCCATGCTCTGTTTCTACCCCCTGCTCTGTCTCCACTTCCTCCAGCCCTTGATCCGGGGAAATCTCTGGATCCAGGAATCTCCTCTTCAAGTCTGCGCCCTGTAAATTCTCCATGCTTCTCTTGGGGTACTTGCGTAGGAACCCCCCGTAACGCTTTTTGTCATCCTTTGTGCTCCACGCCTGGTTGTGTTCCTCTGACTCCTCACTGATCTCTGTCTCCTGCTCTGGGTCAGCTGTCTCCAAGATGTCCCTCTCTCCATACTTGGGCAGGAGATTGCCATAGGCCTTGCCGTCTTCGCCTCGGAAGATGCTGCCCTCTCGTTTCGGGGAGCTGAAGAAGAACTTGTTCTTATCCAGTTTCTTCATAAACCCTCCATATCGCTTTTCTGGCACTTCCAGAAGATCTGCAGAGGTGGGTACTCGCTCCTGTTCCCTTTTGGAGACTTCAAGAATGCTTCCGGCAGGCGAAAGGATCTTTTCACACCGTTCCCACTCTGTAATAGATGACAGTGAGCCTTCACACTGTAAGGAGCAGACCTGGAAGAGAATTCAGAGTGTTAACAATAGTCGTGCTATCTGCTGGAGAATGGCCTGGCAGACATCCTTCCATCTGACACTGGCTACAGTTAGTCCCAGAGATGATCCATCGCTCCAACCCACATTCAGTCTTCCAGTCTTGGCAAGAGGTGGGAGCCAGACGCACTCTAAAGAGACTATTTAAATACTAGAAAGATGATTCACACCACTGACATCACCATAAAACTTTATTTCCATCCATTGTGCTCCTGTCCCTGCCCATAGACCACCCACTGAAGTGTTTCACCCTAAAGGGCTTATTCGTACCTACAAATAACCCTTTAGGGTAAATCATGTCAGATCGTTTACGGTGACATCAGTGGTGTGCGCCATCTTCCTTGCATTTGAGTGGCTAAAGTTAGTTTAATTGATTTATATGAAAATTTCCCTACAGGAAAAACATTCTTGGTGCCAAAAATAACCAGATTAAGGGGGCAAACTTTCAATCCCGCACTGTAATGCTAATATTTGGAAGCTCTTTGGCTTTCTTGCGTAACAAGATGCCTTCAACTGATCAATCTTGCTAGAAAAAAATTAGGGCTGTGCAAATTAACGATTCATTTCTCGATTAATCGTTAATCTTTTTGATCGATTAACATTTTTAAAAAACTTTCTGCATGAGCGCCAGCCAAGGCATTGGCCTATAGACACACAGCACAGCAATGAAGTAATAAAATGAACTAGGATCACACTAATCCAGCACGTTATTATTCTGAGTTGGCCCACTCAAGCGGCGGCCATATTGAGTGGGGCACATGAGATTAATAACGTGCTGGATTAGTGCGATCCTAGTTCATTTAATGACTTCATTGCTGTGCTGTATGTGTATAGGCCAATGTAGTTGGATCTGTATGTGCGTTATAATAATCAAAATTAATCGATTAAAAAAAAATTTAGATTAATCGAACACAAAAATTTTAATCAGCAACAGCCCTAAAAAAATATATATATTTTAAAGAGATCCGTGAGAATCAGATTTCAGCATCATAGGCTGCCCATAGACCTCCTAGGGCAAGAGTGATTAGATATTCATGAACTGACAGTCCCCTGGCAGTGCCATTACCTTGTTGGTCTGTAAGTACAAATGTATTGACCCTTGCAATGCTATTACACATTTTGCTTTCTTTACAATGCTGATTGGGCAATGTAGATTGCACTGTTAGAATAACACTGAAAACATTTACCAAGACTGGAGCAGACAGAATCTGGAGCAGGCAAGCATGGCAACCAATTATCTTCTAGCTTTTATTTTCAAAGCTAAGCTTTACAAGCTGATTGGCTACTATGCACAACAGATTCTGTCTGCTGCAGTTTTAGTAAATTCCCCCCATTCGGTCAGCAATAATCTCACCTCTTTTCAATCACAAATTTTCCCTACATATTTTGCGTCACCCTATAATAGGGAACCTACCAGTGGGTTGAAGCGGGTGTTGGTGAAGCGTAGCTGCATGGCACAGGAGAAGCACCAGGACACACAATCTGCACAGCTGGCTTTGGGAGCAGAAAGGCTCAGGAGCATGACCAGAAACAGCAATCCCATTGTGTCCAGGTCAGGGAGCTCTGTAAGGAGAGATAAGGAATCCGTTATAGTAGAGAATACAGAGGGGCAATACCACAGTTTATACACAGGCCGATTATTGTCAGGAAAACGTCACTTTAATTTGGACTTTCTCTACCGGAAAGTATCCGGTACATGGATGGTCTTAGCAACCTGGGGCACTCTGGCCGGAAAGGGGGTGGCAAGTGTGCCCCCCCCCCAACATGACCCAATGAGATGTCACATGAGAAGCTGAGCCTGTAGGCTGCCTCATTATTGGAATAGCCCTGTGTGTGTATATGCCAGATTATTATGACCACCTGACGTTTGTAGGCAAATTAGCTATAATTTGGCGCTGAAGTTGCTGGAGGGCCAGACCATTATAAATAGGGAAGCAGGTTGGTTACCACGAAAGTAGAAGTGATTTGTTTCTGAAGATACGGGTAAACAACGCGATTTAACAGCCTTTGAACGTGGGAAGATTGTTGGTGCTCGGAGCCATGGAGCGAGTATCAGCAAAACAGCAGAATCCGTTAAATGTTCAAGAGGGGCTCATTGTTAAAGTGTTTAAAGACCGGACTGTCAGCCACAAATCTGGGTCTGAACGTGCGGATTGTGGCCGTCAGCGACTAGTCAATGTTAGAGCAGAATGGAGAGTGGCAAGACTGGTACAAGACAACAGAAGGGCAACAGTGCCGTGTCAGATTCCTCGCATCACCTTTCACCATCTCATGGAGTCACGAGGCGGCCCAACAAAGTCATCTTGTGGAGTTATCTCGTGGCCCAACGAAGTACTGATGGGGTGGTCATAATAATCTGGCCACTCAGTGTATATATACACACACAAACACACACACACACTTTTAATATACAACTACATTTGTTGTTGGGACAATTTAGCAGAGCTTCATAGATTCAGTAAGTGGTTTCAGAGGCAGTAATTGGCTTGGAATAAGATCAGGAAAGTTTAACAAAAGTCACAAGAACTAAACTTTAAATCCCAGCACATCCCTGTTATGGTATATTTTAATAGAATTCATTTTATGTAGCCATGTAGACGCAAACAGTACTCACTTACGTTCAATGAGGGCTCACAATCGGGCAAAGAGAGCAGTTTGAAGTTAAGTTTCCTAGTACAATTCGTACAGCATGGACAAAATTACAGGTTAGTAACATCATCCCACACTTGAAGCATTAGTAAGCCGTGTCCCCTGACGGATAATGACCTACTTCCAGTCAACATCAGCAAGAGCTCTCGACTTCCACGGGACTTGTACTTGAGCAGCAAATAACACGGTGGAGGATATTCATTGTCGGCGGTTTCCAGTGCGCCTCAGTGGGAGCAGACAGCGGGCATTAGAGTGTTGTGGGTGTATCCGGATAATTATCTGTTGTGTGTACACATTTTATTGATTTAAGTACCTCTGCGAAAGCATAGATTTAAAACTGAAAATAATCAACAAAAACATAGGGGGTCATTTGTTAACTTTGTCATGACTGCAGATTGACTTTAGTTCGAAAAAAATAAAATTCTCCTTGCTGTGAGAGAGCTGAATAAACTCTCAGAGAACTAGGAGTGTGCAACTGTGTGTGTTCCTAGTTTTAAGAGGAACTTTACCCACCAATTAAATGTCTCCCAAAACAGTTAGAATAAGGGCCGTTTCACACCACAAACTCCGCGTTCCAGTGGGTTCGGCTTCTGGAGCGCAAGCCGGCTGCCTCCCTGCGTTTGCGTTCAGGGGCGGGGGGCGTGGTGCTGCATTGAAGTTAATGGCACTGCAGCCACGCTCCCCCTGCCCACGGTGCGATCGCCTAAAACCTGGAACACAAGCACTATTTTTGCAGAACGCTCTGGTCCGGAACTCAGACACTAATGTGCGTTCCAGAGGCCGAACGCACTGGAACGCAGAGTTTGTGGTGTGAACCGGCCCTAAAGCAGTGGTTCTCAACCTATGTAACCTCAGGACCCACATTTGTCCTTGGTCAGTAAGTCGCACTGTACAGCATTGTTGTACCCTTCCACTGTGGGCGAGAGGTGCGTTTGGGGTGCCATTCAAATGGCAACACAACACACCTCCCGCAAGTGAACACACGGTAGGTGTGATTGCGTGATATAGTGAGATTAACGCACTGTACTAGTGTGAACGGGCCTTCAAAAACACTGACAGACACACACAACCACAGACACAACCTCACATACTCAGAGACATTCTCACACACACATATACACTCTGTTTTGGGGTTTGTTTTTTTTAAGATCCACCCAGTCTCCCTTCCTTACGAGAACTGGAGTGGATCTTCAGCCTGGGATCCAGTGTGGGCTCTTATGCTGTGAGGGAGCTCCATTCATATGTGTATTGCTTGTACACCCCCCTGGTACGCCCTGTAGCGGTTCTGGGAGCCAGAATGTGATGGCACTCTGGTCCAGCCACCTCTACAGGGCATGCAAGGGAGCTGTAAGCAACGCACATATGGATGGAGCTCCTTTGTGGCCATGCCCTCAGCCCACCCCAAGTTGGCATTTAGCGCGGGGCAGCATATTCTGAATGGGTGCTTGGCACAAGAACCGACAGTGCTGCGCTAGGGGAAGGCTGGTGGAGCCTCTCCACTAATGCGGCAGAAGGCACGTGGCGACCCACTGAACTGTGACCCACTTTTGGATCGCGCACCACCAGTTGAGAACCACATTTTTAAAAGGCATACCAACCATCAAGGTTGTTGGTGTGCTTATTTCAGCTCTCAACCAAACATTTAAGCCCTCAAATGGCTTGTGTCATAGCTGATCACATGTTCATCACCATGATGAGTGCAATCCAAATAGAGGCCAATACAGTCTTTCAATGCCTAAGGCAGTTTCCCCACAGATGGAGGTCAGAGGTTTGCCTATCCCTGCTGTAAAGACTTGCCTATTCTGTTGCCCACACTGCCAAACACAGGTCTTTGGGCGAGGATTGGTCCCCTCGAAGTCTTCTGTGAAATGGACACTTCCAGGAGTATCGATCTTTATGTCCCCTGCAGTGTTCACTGGTTCTTCCAGCCAACCTCCACATTATTTACTATCAGGGTTATTCACAAAAGGGTGAAGAGTTTGGAGAAGGCAGGAGACGTGAACAATCTAGGCCAAAATAGCTGATTTGGAAAGATTCTCCAATTCAGCTCACTTTCCAGTTCAGCTATGTTGTCCTAGATTGTTCCCTTCCCCTGCTTTCTCCAAACTCTTCACCCTTTTGTGAATAACCCTGCATGTCTTGTAGTGACGTGGAGGTTCGGCAGAGAATACCAATGAGCATAGTGGGGGGCACAGGTGATTTTCAACTTTCCAGCAGTGTTCAGGGGAAGATTCCTCACCAACAAAGTAGTGTTATGCCCTTTCCTACTCTATTTAAAAAAAAAAAAAAAATTTGGCTGGTTTTACACGTAAAACCTTTAGTGGAAACGCTGTTCCATTTTTTTTTTTTATAGTGTTAGGAGAAACACGGACAGTATTCACATCGAAACTGAACCGTGGTGTAAAACCGGAAAGAAAACTCAAAAGGGATGAAAACAAAATAACATTCTCAGAAAACAAATTACAACATTCTTTTAGTTGTTTTAAACAAAGAAATAGAGAAAAAGGAAACTATAAGTAAAATGTAACTTTGCACACAAAGTCTAAGCATTCAGTCTATATACATATATACATATATACACACACACAAACACATATTACTGAATATATATATATATATATATATTTTTAAGAGATACTGGGAAATGTTACATAGTTACATAGTATTTGGGGTTGAATAAAGACATACGTCCATCAAGTCCAACCCATATAGGTCCACGCATCATCTCATTCTTAGGGATACTGGTATCCCTGGATATTACGGTCCCTCAAGAAAGTGTCCAAACGTTTCTTGAACAATCTACACTCTTGGCTGAAATCAGCCAAATGTGCAGCAAGAAATATTAGTGGACATATAAAAGGGCACGCTAAAAATGGCACTGGGGACATAACTAAAATCCAGCACTTGGTTTAACGGAATTTACAAGAACTGAACTGGAATTGAAATGACAGGTCACTGACCGCTACGGCAGGGGCTCGGGTTGTTCACATGACCGCCTCAGGGAAAATATTCAAAGGCATGGCTTAATATTAAACTGCATGAGACAAATGGGCTCTCGTTGTTGGCCGCAATTATACCAGTATACTGCTTAGAATGATCAATCATTTTCACCTGGGTTTAAAGGGCACATGTTCGTTTGTCATATTACTTAATGCAGAAGGGTGATGCTACCTCTGGCAGTATATTCTGCCCCTCTGCTCATGTGTATCATGTTGAGTGGCAGAGTTATGTTCCAAGATGCTCAATGTTACTTTCGATTCTATCACTTAGCTCTCTCGTGACCTAATCTTCTAAAGCTGCCATCGTAGCAAGCCCCTAGGACCAGAGCAGAGCCCATTCACACCTATGGTTTACCCATACGGTAACAGTTAACTGCACATTACAGCAGCGCATGGCAACACACATTCCAGTGCACAGTAGAAGTCAACGCAAATGCATCACCACACAAATGTTGTGCATTTTGGTACACTGGATTCTCTAAAAAGGGTCCTATGTATTGTGTGGGCTACTGTGCTGCAATGGTAGCTCATTTGTAATGAATGCATGTTAGGGTGTGACATACCTCAGGGCCTTTATTGCACCCCAGAAATGAGAATTCAGCCTCAAAGTAAATGCATGTCTACTATCAAAGGAAACCCACCTTGAGATAAATATGTAAGGTGTCATTGTTGATCTCTCCTGAAAATTCTCATTTCCTAGCGGTCATGGTCATTCAGTTTGTTCACTTGCTGCATATTTGTTAAAGACCATGAAATCAGAATGTACAGAAGATGGCAGGAAGTAGGAAACTGGCATTTTCAGAAGAAAGTCTGCCATATATAGGCAACAGCAAATACCTCTATGTGAGCTTTGACTTAAAGTGGAACTAGACCTACCAATTTAATGGTCGCCCAAAAGGCATGCCAGCTGTCAAG